ATAACAGGGGCCTTTCCTCTCCCCATTTATCCCCATAAATTAGTAGCCAGGCTCCTCCGCGCGCTCGAACTCCAAGACCCTCCCCGGGCCTGACTTTCGGATTCCCCTCCCAACAGTCCCCCCGGACTTGGTCAAATGACTCCGATCTAAACGGTCTCTGAGGGCCTGCCGCACCCTCCTTGGCTGCAGAGGGGACGCCAGCCTAGCGCCCCCCACCCCCGCCATCCCCCGCTGCCCTCCAAGTTTCTCCCAACTAGTTGTCCCGGCCCGAGTTACCTGCAACCTGCTCCGAGCTGGCGCCATAGTCCGCGTCGCGGCGCTTCTCGCAAGTGCCGGCGCCCTGGACAAGCGCCTGCAGAGGCAGCTCGGAGTCCGGGTGGGGATAGCAGCGCAGCCCCTGGGCGCAGCGCGGGGTGTAGACGCCGCACGCCTCGCCCTCCAGCCGGGCGCACACAGAGCAGCAGCCGCAGCCCGGCTCCCGCACCAGCTCGGTGCAGGGCGCCCCGGACCGGGTCGGCGTGGTCTCGCAGGCGGCCACGCGCTCCGCCGTGCAGGGCGGGCAGCGGAACAGCACCTCGGCGCTCACGCCTGCGCCCAGCAGCAGCAGCAGCAGCGGCGGCAGAAGCAGCGGCAGCGCGGGGCCGCCCAGTCTCGGCAGCATGTTGGCGATGGTGAGCGCGACCGCAGCGAGCGAACCGGCAGGTGGCACAGCCTTGAGAGCGCGGGAGCCGCCTCCTCGGCTTCTTTCTCCTCCCCTGCGGCCGTAGCCGGTCCTAAAAAGCCCTGCTTCTCCCCGCCCCCTGCCTTCTTCCCTCCCCTTTTGGAGACCACCCCTTCCCCTGACACTCCCGCGCGCCCGCCTATGCGTGCGTGCACGCCCACTCCCACTTGGTCACTTGCTCTGTAGCTCCTCTACTCCCCCTGGCCTCGGTCGGTTCACACCCTTCTACCCCGGGCTCCCTGACTCCCGGAGAATAAGAATCACTTGGGGGAGTGGGGCCGGCGCGGGAGTGAAGAAGAGTGGGTGCTTTTGTCTCCCGTTCTGTTCAATTCTCAAGGACTTACTTTGCGCGCTTCCCCCGTGGCGGGCACTGGGCTAACTGCTGCGGGAATGCAAAGTAGAAAAGGCATGGTCTTGACCTTCAAGTAGATTTCACTTCCACAGGACTCTCACCACCCTCGGTTTTCACCGCCCCACCCCTACACACGTTGCTTGGGACAGTGACTTTGGCGTCAAGTGAGTCTGGAGGAGGTTCATGTCCTACAGACCCACCTAGCCCCAACAGCCCCCCACCCTTCCCTTGGTGACCAATACAGGTTCCCAACCCTGAGAGCATCTGGTGATATGTAAGTATCAGAAATGCAATCTCTGGACACCGAGAAACCTGCTCCCTTCCTCTCCACCTACTCTGCCCTCCCCCGACCCCACAAAAAAAAGAAAAGGTAATCTTTTAGCGACCTGGGCTCTCCACCCACAGATCTGGAGGCATTTGCGGCAGGAGAGAGCCCAGATCCACCTCCACCAGGCTTGCAGAGGTCAGATCAACCTGCCAGTTGTTCAAGAATACCCTGGAGTAAAGTCATGTATAGCTCTCTCCAATCATGCAGATGGACAAGGATGGCCTCCCTCTATTGTTCTGTTCAATTTACTGAGTCATGTGTCCAAGCCGTCCCCATCCCCCCAGCATTCCAGCTGGACTTGCCTTAATTATCACCCATCACCCTGGGTTGTGAACCAAACAAAGACTCTTGTCAGAGAAATTCTCTTGGTGAGGGATGGACCATGAAGCTGCCTCCAGCCCAGGTGTAATTTCTCAGTACAGTCATGTGCCACATAAGGACATTTTTGTCAACAAGGGACTGCATGTACAAAGGTGGTCCCGTGAGGTTACAGTGGAGCTGAAACATTCCTATCACCTAGAGGCTTAACAGCCATTGTAATGTCTTAGGCCAACGCGTTACTCACATGTTTGTGGTGATGCCGGTGTAAACACACCTGCGCTGCCAGTCCTGTAAAAGTAAAGCAAGCACAATTCTGTGTAGTCCATACTTGATAATGATGGTGAACGGCTACGTTTCTGGTTTACGTATTTACTATGCCATATTTTGTATCATTATCAATGCACCGTAAAACAGTATATGGTGTTACACGGCAGCAGCCTCATCCATCTTGTGTTTACCAAGTGTCTTGATTGCATCACTTTCTCTTGGGCTTGATTATGTCTCATGTTGTTTTTATACAGTAACATGCTGTACAAGTTTGTAGCCTAAGAGCAATAGGTTAAGTACATTCTATGCTGTTCCCACAACTAAGAAACAACAGCCTAAGCACACGTTTCTCAGAACATATCCCCGCCGTTAGGTGGTGCTTTACTCTACCTCTGTGGCACCCTTCCTCCCCACCAGAGCTCTCTCCTCCAGCTCTGCCTACCTTTAGGATCAGAGCCATTTGATTCAACTCAACAGCTACTTACCCAGTGGCTACCTGTTCCGGAAGATGAACTAGATGCCCAGGAAAGTAAGTTCCTGATTTTAAAAAACTAACAATGTTATAAGGGAGAGTTTGGTAAGATGAACACATAACTGGTGGTCAGAGGCTTCGAAGAGGAGAAATATTTAGATGGAGATATGGTGGGGGTTTCATGGGTAAACGAGACTTGAAATTAAATCTTAGAAGTCTACCAAGGGAAATGTAGGGGTAGCAAGGACACCCAGAGCAGAGAGAGCGAAGAAAGCAAGGACAAGGAAATGGGAAGGGGAGGTTGGAGACAGAAAGTCCTCTCAGCGAGCAGAATGCTTGGGGGTGGGGGTGGGGGAGGGAGGGGAGAGACTGGCAGGAAATCCAGCTGACTCGTATGGAGGTTTGGCTTCATTTGGTGGCGGTGGGTACAGCGCCCATGTTTGAGAAGACAAGTGAAATAGAGCTGGTCTTCTGGCAATCACTAGAACTGTGTCTAGTGCAGATGTGACAGGCATGGGGATGTTGCTGGTCACTCCTCCTGGGTGTGCCCTGGCATCTTGTTCCTGCCTGGTACCATCTGTTTCCGTTGGTCTCACTAGAGTATGAGCTCCTTCAGAGTAAGGACAGTGTCCACTGTGACACTGACCAATGAAAATCTGATGCAAACCGCAAATGTGAGCCACAGGTACAATTCTCAGTTTTCTAGTAGCCACATTAAAATTTAGTAAAAATAAATGGATGGAACCCATTTTAATTATATACTTTATTTAACCCAATACATTCAAATTATCATTTCAATGTGCAATGAATATTAAAAATTTCTGAGAGATTTAATATTCCTTTTTTTATACTAAATCCTCAAGCTTTGATAGATATTTTATGCTTACAGCACATTTCAATTTGAACCAGCCAAAATTCAAATGCTTAATGCCACTTGTGGCTAGTAGCTACCATATTGGTCAGGACATGGGTCTAAAATATAGTGTCTGACATCCAGTAGGCACTCAATAAATATACTGAGTGAATGAATGAATGAAAAGTGCCATCTCTAAAAATACTCCTGGCAGAGCCCCCCATTCTCAGTCTCCATTGCAATGCCCCGCTTGCTGGGGATGAAAGGTTGTGATGAATGTATTGAGAGCACAGGAAAGGAATTTTCTCATTTATTCAGCTACTCACCTAACGTTTGAGATTCATTCTCTCTACTTCTGTTTAAAGTTCTTGATCTCTGAGCCAAGAACCCTGGAGATGAGCAGGCAAAGTGAGGCTAATTTGACCAATGCAAAGTATTCAATGAGATTTCTCTTTCTAATGAGTCTAAAGACCACTCCCCAATTCCTTTCTCCTCGTTCCCTGATTAATAGTCAGTTTTGCCACCCCCTGCCTGTCACGTGGAGAAACACACACACACATCATCATCATCATCACCATCACCACCAAAGCCCCATCTTCTTTAAGTCTTTTCCTAACCACCATGAGGTTCAGGTCTCTCCTCCAGGAAGGCTTCACTCACAGAACATCCTCCATCAGCTGCATAGAGAAGTGGAGGGAGGCTCCATTTTACTCATTACTGAAGGTCCAGGGCCTAGAACAGTGCCTGGAACACAAAGGCTACATGACTATTTGTTGAGTGAGCCCAGGTCCTCTGCTCCCAGTCCCTGCTTTGCCCACTGTTCCTGGAGCACATTTTTCATTTCTCATGGGTCCTCTGCTGAGGATATGTCCTTAAGCCTGAGAGCCTGTCCGTGCCAGGCAGTGAGGACTCCTGTGGAGAGATGAGGACAGGCTGAAACTGGTTTTCTCCAGTCCCCTTAATCCCAGCCTTTTTCCATTTGAAAAGTATTTCACCAACTCCACCCTTTCAAGGTTTACTGTAACTAAGTACCACCTATACTATTATTTACATAATATTTTTTTAATGTAAGTCAATTCACCTTTTTTTCTTTTGACTTAAAGCTGTTTTTAAAAGACACTTTATAGCATTACCATAAATGGAAGACCTGTATTAATGGCCATATATAGATAGCAACCATAAAAATAAACACAGTGAAACAAAACGGTGGTATTTAATTCGAGCCCTGGTTTAACAAAAGATGAGCCAGCCTAAGAGAAGTATTAAGACAAGCCAGACCCAAGCTGAGATTTTCTCCATAAATCATCAGGAAGAGAGAAATATTTTTAAAAACATCTCATTGAAATGTCATGTACGTGCAATAAAGTACACACATCATAAACTTGATAAACATGCACAGTTGGTCATCTCACATAACCAGTATCCAGATGAAGAAAGAGTAACATTGCTCAGAAGTCCCCTCTATGCTCACTTCCAGTTGTTACCCGCCCTTCTCCATGGGCAACCATGATCCTGGCTTTTTCTACCATCGATGAGTTTTGCCTGTTTTTGCATTACATATAAATGAAAATGTACACTATGCTGTCTTGTCCTCTCTGGCTTCTTTGGCTCAACGCTATGAGCCATGTTCTCGCATGTAATTTTTGGTTCTTTCTCATTGCTGGGTAGCGTTCCATGGTAGGAAGTCACCATGATCTATCCGTTCTTCTGTTGATGGGCATTTGGATAGTTTCCTGTTTTTGACTCTTATGAACACAGTTGCCATGAATGTCCCAGAACAAGTCATTTGCTGAGCATGTGTGCTCGTTTCTGTTGGGTCTATACTTAGGTATGGAATTTCTGGGCCATGAGGTTTACATATGTTCAGCTTTAGTAGATAAAGCCAGAAAGTTTTGCCAAGTTGATGTATAAGTCTATACTCTTATCACAATATTTATGGTGTGGAGGAGGGGAAACTGTCCCCCCGCCCTTTCTGGTTCTTTTAGCTGACTGAATAATTACAATGAGGTAATTCACAGAACAATAAGAAGAGCAGATGTTCGATAATTAGATGTTTTCCCTGCCCTGTAGATAGTTCATAAAATGTTATTTCTGGTAATAACTCTTATTATGGACAAGGCCCCTAATTTAAATTTTCCTAGGTAGCTGGGGGTGTGGAGCAAAGGTTTCTCTTGAGCTCAAAGGTTTAGCTCAAAATAATCCATACACCACAGGGACACATCTTGGGGCGACTAATTTGGAACCCCCAGAGAGGATTCAACTCACTCTCCATTCTTGCCAACACTTGGCCTTTTCCATCCTTTTTAAATGTACTCATTCTGGTGGATATGCAGTTTTATTTTATTGTGGCTTTATTTTTTAGTTTCCTAATGACTGATGAAGGTGAATCCCTTTTTAATGATAGAAGAAGAGGAATTTTAAAAGGGAATCATGTCATATGATGTTATAT